ACCAGGTATTATCAGCATAATTGGCCATTACTGACACCACTGATGACCAATCAAAACCTCCAGTTGTGACCAGCACTTTAAACAAATATAAGGGGATAAAAAAATGGCCCACCAGTGGTGCTTTAACAGCATCCATTTCATAACTTTTCTAGGTTAAGCAAGTGTATTAAGATCTCTGAAGAAAATTATGTTTTTGCAGCTAATACTTCAAGCGCTCATTACCCTATGGTCAAATTCTATTTATAAAACTATAATGAATGTTTGTTTTGTTGCAATCACTAAGAACTGATTAGATCTTGAATGATTCAGCCATTTAAAATATATTTTCTATTACACCAAAAATACCAAACCCAAACGAAACAGAGCCTTGCATCCTTACCTGCATAATCTAAAATCCTGCCAGGCCAATCCAGAAATACATTCTCTTACATAAAAATTCAAAGCAAAATGAGCAGAGTGCGATAAGATAGAGAGTAAGTCTTTTATGGTGCCTTTCATATCAAATACAAACTATTGCAGTTTTCTCTAACTTCATTATTTTGTCAACATTCCATTGAAATCTATTATACTAAGTTATCTCATCACTGAATTCTGAAGCAAAATTGGAGAGGCTGCCTTCAAAACAAAATCCCCAAAAACATTCTTCTGCAAGTCCTTGGTAAAATATTATGTGGCATTTTACCTGTCTCAAAAATTTTTATTATACAGAAAGGGTTGGCAGTAATTCTAGATCGTGAACTTCTCTTTCTTAAATCATTGATTTTCTCCAGTACTGGTGAGAGCAGAGTTCTCCCCAGAGCATTTTGTAACAAGAGCCCCTAATAGGAAGCTAATAGAAAACCTTCAGGAGATTAAACTAGGTTCTCAGCAAGTATAAAAGCAATCAGAAATAGCAACTTGATTCAGCTGATCTTGATGAAGATTTTAGTAAAGTTTTTAGAACCCCCAAATTTCTTCTCTGAGAGTTCATATAGCAGGTTCCCTATACTGGCAAATTTTAATAAGGGCAAAATTTGAGGGAGTAGCAACAATATCTTGGCTAAAGAGAAGGTTGTATAGAGTAGCACAAAAGCTAGCAAAGTCTACAAAATATATCATTATTCATATATCATTCAGACTCTCTGAAGCAGAAAGGGACCTTGTCCTTTCTTGTCCCTTGTCCCAAAGCAGGGCTCCCTAGAGCCAAATTTCTGCACAGTTGTCAAAGGTAATATTCAAAATAAGCAAAATGAGGAGCTTTAGCCACTTAGTTTTCTAGGATGAGCAAAAGGAAAAACGCAAATTCAGAAGCCATGACATTAAACTTCAACACAACTGCAATCCTCCACAGTCTGAATAGATGAGTTTTCTTCATCTTTAGATGAATAGACAACTCAGAGACAACAGATATTTTCTTAACTACTCATGCCTGAGCTTTGACTTCAGAGTCAGAAGCATTTGCTTTTAATATAACCCATAGCAGCATGTCTAAGATCACCCAAAAATCAGAGTATATTGCAAATTCAGTGGGTATATTGGGTAGGAAACCAAAGCATTTCAGTGCACTGCCTGCCCTCTTTTTTTTTTTTTTTTTTTTTTTTTTTTTTTTAATAATGAAGGGCTTGAGCACAGAATAAAAAACTCCCTTTGCATTTTATACACTTTTATATTAATTGAATTTTATTGCAGCTTTATCCTCATATATCTTAAAGAAATAACGTAAACTATTTTGGCTGATCTCAATAATGAATGAACGTCAAATAAAAAGGGAAACTTAAAATATATCTCCATGTTATCAGTCTCAAAATGGTGCCTAGAGTGGTCACTGAAATACAGAGGTAAGAAAGTGAAAGCCAAGTTCAAGACCTAACTTTAAGTGATACAAGTAGCAGTCACATTAAGTTTCAGTCTGCCTTTAAGGAAGCGACTAAAAATACTTAAATTTTGTAACTGAGTATGACAGTAATTATAGATCTGCCTTAAAAACCACTGGATTGATCTGTATTGACTTTTGCCTTTTGACAATGGCACATTATTTTTCTTTGGTGTTTCAAGAATTGAAAAAGGTCAAAACTTTTTAAGAGCATTGAAAAACACATCAGAGTCAAGACTGAACAAAAATAAAAAGGGACACAGTGAACTAAAGCTACTTGCTGAAATCTGCCAAGTTTTTAACTATTTCAGAAGGAATGAGCTCTTCGTTTCAATCATTATAGGTAATGAGTTTCCTTAAAGAATGAGTTGTATTCTTGCAGCAGAGGGATCTTTTCAGAACCATGGCAGGTCTGAAGCCAGTCTGCATGCTTGCAAATGTTTCCTCTGTCTAGACGAAAGAAAGAGAAGATGATGCTACAAATAATTTGTTAGCCCCAGAAAAAGAATCCAGAACTATCAAAGCACAAGCAGTCTTTGGTTCAAGCTGCTTTGTTTCTGTCAGCACAGGGCATAAAAGCATCTTTGGCTCTATGCTTTGATAACAGAAATGAGTACCTTGTCGTGCTTTAAATCGCTGCTGAAAGATTTCTTAAGTGAACGTGACAGTATTTGAAATGCCCCATGCTGCTACAGTTAAGATTTGCCAATCAGAATTAATAGCAACAGATTTACTACTCCAAAACAAATAAAAGCTGCAGTTTTTCTGCTAAATGAAGAACTAATGAATGAAAAGAGAGGCAAAATCATCACAATAGCCAGTTACCCTGTCAATTAAAATTATTTTTATATGGCTGTATTCACAAGGATTAGTAAACAATAACACTTCAGCTAACATAGGTTTTGTTATATTCAAATTGAATGTGAAATACAGTCTGGCATTATAAATGAATCTCTTACTCTTTTGCACTGAATTTCTGAATTCTTCTGAGTCATAATGCACTAAGTATTTTTTGGTATAGATGAGTATAAGTAAATGTATTTTGGTATAAATACTTTTCAATGTGTTTTGTTTTTTCTTTGAGCTAATTCACGACAGTTCGGCTTGTTGTTTGAGGGAGAGAAAAACCTATAGATAGATGTCTATAGCTTTGGATGCTTTGTACCACCAGCAGGTTTTACTGAATTGCACCTCATGTGCGACACCTCTTACCACAGGGAGTGGATGCAGATCTGCTCAAATAAATACACTCTTTTTTTTTTCTTTCTCCCTATTGAATTCTGCTACTGTTGCCACCTGGCCCCCCTTCTTTAGATCTAGCTTCATCATCAATTTCATGCTGAATTCAAGGTTTCTCTCTAGGCCCTCCTTAAGCATTCATTTTCATTGATTGATCAAAAAATCCTTTTCTTTTTAAGCTAACTGAGCATCTATCCAAGGGTTCCCTTGTGGGCTACTATGCTGGACCTATGAGTTAGGAAATTTCAGGAAACTAGGCAACACAGGCTTCCTTGGATAAACATGAGGCAAAAAATTCAGGTAACAATTGTTCAGACTGAGGTGTATTAAACCAGTTGTGCCTCCTCTGAACCTTAGCTGGGCAGTCTCCTATAAAGCTTTTAGGGACTCCTGTTGAGAGTAGAGGAGGGATGCTCAGGCTAATAAACCTGTGTGGAATGGCTCAAATGTGTGCAGTAAAGAAACTAATTCACAAGTTCTAACCTAAGAGGAAAACAAATGAGTCTCACTCTGTAAAAGACTAACTGCTCTCTCACAGCTGGATTTGCTAAACACTTACACTGGGGATATTTTGGACAGAAAGAGAGCTTTATAAACCCAGTCATACACATTCAAAAAACTTCCATAGGTCTCAGCTACTCTAAAGTTTTTGGTTTATTTATTAAAAAAAATAAAAATCACAAAAACCCTGAAACTATCTCTTCAGCTCTCCTCACTGACCATCACTGCTCAGTGAAAATGGTAATTTTAAAAGCAATGTCTCTATGCTTATGTCTTTAAAATTACCCCTCTCATGGGAAGTCTCAGCTTAATCTTTTCTTCTTTTTTGGATAGTGACATTATTTTAGCTTTTTTTTTTTTTTACATTCTAGGAGCTTTATACTTGGTTTTCATGGATGCTTTTAGCTTTTATGGATGTCATCTGATTGTTCTGAAAAGAGAATAATGTAATGCTAAATCACATGGCCAGTTTTACATAAATATTACACCTTTACCTATAGTGTTCCATCCAAATACAGGTTAAAAATACAAAGAACTCTCTGTGAGTTTGGGGCTTTTTGGGCCATGGCTCTTTGGAGAGCAGATGCTCTGTGAAATTAAAACAGGTGAATCTGTAGTACCAGCAATGACTGAGGAACAACTACATGGATAAGCAAGAAGGTGTTCATTCTGTTTTGTTGTCGAGTGTTATTATCTAAACCCCCTTTGCTCATATATTAAGCTGTGGTTTCTTATTTCACTTTGCAACCTCAGCTTGTAGACCAGAATTCTAAGCAGTATATGCCCAACCAATATCTGCAGTCCCTGATGTCTTCAGGATGCATGGTTAAAACTCTGCCAGAAGAGCAACACTGTGAAGGACTTGGGAATATAAGCAGACCTGGGGACCAGCCTGGGCTACACCAGATGCTAGATGGTATTGGGAAAGCTATCAGGAAAGCCAGAGAAGCTTGAATCTAAACATTAGATAGGGAAAGTGAAATAAATCAGAAGAGGGAGGAAAGAATATCAGACACAGTAAGATTGTTTAGCACTGCTGACTGGTTTAAACTTAGTTCAAAATCCAAATCCCAGCATTCTCTGTCTGATCGGGTAAGAACATAGCACTTGTTCATGTTGAATAATTCTCCAGCAACTGATGAGCAATACTTTTTTTTTTACTCAGAGAAATATCACCTTTCTGTAATAACAAAACAACAAATCACAAGCTAACGTGTAGTGCTCTGAAATTCTCAGGGTTCCCGCATAATGTAGCTAAATATCTAGGAAATCTTCTAGCACAAGGCTTTCCAGGGCTCCCAGTTCCTTGTGGGCTGTGGGAGGGAGGCAGGGGAGAGGAGGGTCTCTACAGCAATGGGGAGGATAAGTAGGTTTTCTGTTGGAGGCAGAGCCTCCCTCTGTCGCTTACCTTGTTGCACAAAGGATCCATAGACAAACCACATGGAGTTGTAGAGAGTTGTGGACGTCATGGATCCCATCTGAAGGCGCGGGGGGTTGAGCCAGTTCAAGAGGTAGACCAGGAGCCCCACTAGGAGCACCGTGCCAGCAATGCAGGCCCACAGGGAGAGGTCAAAGGGGGCCAGGCAGGCAAACATGTCCACTGTCTTCTCTGCCTTGCGCAGCAGCACGCCCACCGAGTAGTCCATGTAGCGCGTTGTGAAGTCCACCACGTTCTCCCTGTCAGGGGTGATGGTGAGGGCAGAGATCCCGATGTCAGCTCTCTGAGGGGAGGAAGAGAAAACAGCGTGCTTAAGTAGGAGCTGCAAAAAAGATCTTTGTTCCTCTGTGATTTATAGCAGCTAAGCTTAGGGAGAATCAGATGCCGAGACTGAGGTCTTCAGCATCATGTACGTGAGCACAGAGAGGTGGGCAAGGCTTGAGCAGGGTAGATCAACCACGTGTCTTAGTTTCTGCAAGCAAACCTCACTTGCTGGACTCTGGCACATCTGCTCTCCTTGTCATTATTGTCCAAGAAATCAAAATACTACAAACACAGATAATACCTGGAGGATAACTATTTCTTCTTTTGTCATTTTTGTCAACCTGGCTTATTAAAGCCATTCCTGCCATTGTGGCAAAAATCAGATTTTGTGCATAGCAGATCCAGTCATAGGAAATTAGTTGCCTTATAGTAGAGCCAAATTTATAAAATATTTTCATGATTTGATGATCATGACAAAGGGCTACTACCCTAGAAGCACCTGAAATGCCATAAAATATCAATTTTATCTACAAAATCTAAAATGCAGAAGGGCAGATTCTGCATGCAGTTCCTTTACAATTAATTCCTCTGTATCCTACTGACAAGCAATTCCTCCAACAATGCCAATCTGTCCTGCAGCTAGCCTGGACTTGCTTTGTGCCACTTCCTTTTTTTTTTTTTTTTTGTAATTTAAAGAACACATTTCACATGAAAAGAGGATGAGTAACATTTCTTGATCTAATCATTGTATTTCACAGTATGTATTAGGTCTCCAGGGACACCAGGCACAAGTACAGCAAGTGCTACTTTACTTTTTACAGGTACAATTAGAGCTTCACTGAAAACAAGAAAGATTATTTAAAACAGGCACATGAATGCCATTTTAAAAACACCGAATACTGTGCAATAAGACTGTGAATTCTAGATGTTTTAGTATGACAAAAGACTACTTAAAATATTTAAACTTCTACTACCTTGATTTATTCTATTTTTCTTCTGCCTAAAGAAGTGTGTGATCCTTTGGAAGAGGGTGAGGAGAGCACAAAAAATGGAAAGTACTGAGTCAAATTTTATTAACTCTCTTGAATTTCTTTCTTCTTGCTCAAAGAAGGCAGAGATTCCTAGTTCCTTAGATATGTGATTTTAACTATTGAGTGGGAAGGTATGGCAGCTGAAACTGACTCGAAAATTTTGTAAATCAGCTTGGCTCTTTTAATATGATGTGCAAAGCACTCTGCAGCCCATGGCACAAACACACTCCTAATCACAGTGCTCTTAAAACTTCAGTTTAAATGATGTTACTTTATATTGATTGTTCACTGGCTTGAGAAAGTGGCAGAACCTAGCTGGAAGCCTGATGATTTGGACAAAAAAAGGGTTGGAAAATATTGATTTCCTTAAAAGCTATGAATTAGAGCTTCAGCTATAATTTGTGTGTTAAATTCTCCGGTGCTTAGTGAAGTTCTGTTGATGGGCACAGCTGAAAGCATGGCTTCATGAATTCACTCGGGTCCCTTCCTAACATTTTTGTGAGTGATGATTCAACTGCCCTTTGCCCATGGGCAGTAGCAAACTCAGTCAGTAATTAGAATTATCCATGGAAACGTTCAGGTTATCCGAGTCTCCCTGGCCTCTCATTACAAACCTGCTCAATGAGTGAATATCTCCTGACAGTCAAGCCCCAGCTCCAATGAGCAAGGTGCAAACCAGCCAGCATTTGAATTGTCTTCCACAACTGTGAACATAAATATATTTTTCAAACAATTTACAAATACACAAGTCCAATAGTTGTCAAAAAAGAAATTATGATTACATTTAATGAATAGCATAGATTTGGACCTTTTCCCCTGAATGTGTATCAAAAAGAAAATAGGAATTTAGGGGTAAAGGAGGGCGTGGAAAAAAAAGTCCTAGACTCAGCCTCTGCTGATTAGGTTAGCTGGGTTACTAATTGTCAGTATATTACTAAAATACTTCCCTACCATACTAGATCATTGATTTTCTCATTCAAATTGCAATCTGTAAGATGCTTAAGGATCCTCTACTGAAAAGCAACATATGCCAGTAAAGATACTTTTACCAAATAATAGTTGACTGTATGACCAATAGAATTCTTTATGCTTTTTTCCCCTTTTTTATAGCAAAACACTTCCCCCCCCCCCCCCACCCATTAAATACTTGATGATAATTAAAGAAAAGAATGAGACACCACAGTATCTATGGAAATACTGCTTCTAATCTGCATCTCTGGAAAGCAGCCCCTCCACTTTCCCCAGAATTATGGTTCAGCTCCAGTTATTAACCAGCTATGACAGTGGAACAACATTGTGCTAATGGAAATGTTGCATTTCCTTTGTTCTACCTGCAGCAACAATTGTGATATAATTATGCCTTGCTACTTTATATGCTACATATATAATTAAGGCTTTGAGGTGACCAAATTGCAGCCTTCCAGTACCTGAAAGGAGCTTACAAGAAAGATGGAGAGAGACCTTTTACAGTGGTCTTGAGTCACAGGATGAGGGGGAATGTCTTCAAAATGAAAGTGAGTAGGTTTAGATTAGATATTAGAAAGAAATTACTGTGAAAGTGGTGAGACACTGAAACAGGTTGCCCCGAGAAGCTGTGGATACCCCATCCCTGGAAGTGTTCAAGGAAGGGCTCTGAGTGTTGGAAAGGATGAATAAATGTAATTGCCTGGCAAAAGATTTACAATAGTACAGCCAGGATGAAAACAATCCCCCCTACTGGCTGGACAATAACCTCACGTACAGAGGGGTCCAAAAGTCAAATGGACTGTTCCATCTCACCCCCCAGAATGTATGGTTCACCCCACACCTGTAACCCTCCCCTGAAACATCAAGTGTCTGTGACCCCATTGGCCCAAGTCCTGTTCCAGCCCACCTTGAAGCCCCCTGATAAGGGGTCTCCGAGGGGCCAGACACTCTCTTGGAACTCCCCCCTCTTGGAACTTCTCCTCTCTTGGAACTCCCCACTCTTAGGACTTTCACCCTCTCCTAGAGCATCCTCTCTGCCCCTTGTCTCTCCCCTCCCTCATCCCCTCAGGCCTTGCCACGTGCTGCATCTGGCAGCTCCAAGCAAGACCTTTCACCATCCCTAATAAACCTGATATTCTAAGAGCAGCCTTCAGAGATCTCTTGTCTCCATTCATCAAAGCCGTCCTGGAGCACAGCGCTCCCTACATCTGAGCAACCTGATCAAGTGAAAGATGTCCTGCCCATGGCAGTGGTGATGGAACGAGATGATCTTTCAGCCATTCTGTGCTTCTATATGTCTTTATATCTTAAGAGGTAGTAAAGTGAAGAACAGAAAGGAGAGAGGTAAATCCTGACTTCTTTAGCACTCAGGTGTTTAGCTGTTTCAATTAAAAAAAGAAAAAAAAAAAAAAGGAAAAAAACTACACTGAAATATATAAACTCATATTCTTTACTTCCTAAATTGGATCATAAACACCAGTTTCCCAGAAAACTACAATTTTAGCACAAAACCAAGCTTAAGCTTCTCTTGATACTTGATTTACTGATAGTGAGCATCCTTGATTGCATATAGATTCTGTCATCGTGTTTCAAAATTGGAAGATGAAAAAAATTAAAAGCTTGTCATTAACATGTCAGATTGGATCACAGAAGACATCAGCTTGAAGAAGTAAAGGTTCACTTAGTGCTTTTGAGATAGAAAGGCAAATTCATGCAATTATGTCAATATTTAGATATAAACCTGCCAATCTGAATTATAAACATGTATAGCTCTCCACTAAGTTTTTGCAGTGCCAAAATCAAAAAACCATCATATGTCTTACACATTTCTCATGAATGAAACTGTGACTCCTGAAACAGACTGAAAATACAGCAGAAGGCATTATTTTGCTCTGTGTGACCTGCATAGAAATTTATATTTATCTTCCTTAGCAGCAGTTCTCCTGAGGCCATTGTAGAGCAAAATAACCAGAATGAGAAAATCCAAAAGAAAAGAGCTAAAGGGTCTGATAGCATTGCTACTGGTGTCACAGAACCAGCTTATCACCAAAGCCTAGAAATCCCTGAAATGTCCCTAAGCTACTGCTGTAGCAAGCACATCTCATACACATGGAAAGCAATCTTCCTGTGGTTCATCATCAAAAACAGGAAAAATAAATTCATCTATTCTGAACTGGTCCTGTGAGGGTCAGCCTTTTATCCATTTCCAATATTAAATCAAGTTTCAACAGATGCTAGAAGTGATAAAATGTAGTCCCAAGTTATGTAGTCATTAATATGGACATGCAAAAATCAGAGAGACATTTTTACTCATGCTAATACACATAGATCCAAATAATTCTCCTTTTTTCTTTTATCACTTTGTCCTTCCTGTATGGGCTTTCCCTTCTTTAAGAAGATGCAATAGAAAAAGAGGCTCACAAGAGGCTTCTGCTTGATTTGCAGTATCTTTTTTCCTTTTCTGATGGGCCTAAGTGGAATCAGGCTGCTTTCCCTATGCTATTTGCTTCCTCACGGCTCCTCACTGGAAAAAAAATCCTCACAATCAAGGTATCATGGCAAGATGTGAATAGCAAAGGTTGATGGATGTGAATATCACCAGAAAGCCCAGAGTCATGCTGGAAAGCCTAGTGTGCTCTCCCAGAAGTGGCATTAGCCACTTCTCTTGCCTGTCATACAGGCCATCTGGATAGAGGGCAGCTAAAGGAATCACAGTGAGAAGACAGATCATTAACAGTAAGAGAAAGATTTGTGGTAAAACACTGCTCCCTTGAGATGGTTTTAGCCTCTCCACAGAGAGCTGCAGGTCTCTGAACTAATCCTGTTTGTGAGATGAAGCTCTACAAGATGCAGTGAGAGCCCTGGTCACTTGACAGGAGAGGGACAAGAGCCTCATGTGCTTCTCTCAAAGAGCATTTCTTATTCTCTGAAGACCACTTGGTTCAAGTGTTTAGCAAACAGAAACCTTTGTATAGCAGGGTTACATTCAGGTTATTTTGACTAGAAAAGGTGCATGAACCAAGTGTGTACCTAATACAAGTCTGGACAATCACAAAGGAGGGGAGGCTTGAATCAGTTTCCAAGTTCAAATTAAAGACCACTTACTATGTTCTGCTGATTCCAGCTCCTATTTTAGCAGCCAACAGAAACCTGGTCTTCAAAGCTGGAACAGAATGAACTAGGCACAATGTTATGCTTGTGAAGCCAGCTGCTGGCCCAGGGCATGTACTTGGCACAGCTGGGCTCCTGCCCTGCTATCCAACTCTAGCAGGGCTGTTGCAAACAAGATCAGCCTGGGATTGCTCTCCCTGCACCAGGACCCGCACCAGAGACTGCTGCATGCTGAAGATGGTTAAGGCAAGCAAATGAATATTGATCTTGAGCACAGAAATTATGTGGTTGCTACAGCAACTGCTATTTCATATGGCACATCTTCTGGAGTGGCCAAAGGCACCTTTTTCTCAACGAGATGATCTCTACAACTGCCTGGAAGGAGGCCGGAATGAGGTGGGGATTGACCTCTCCAGTAACAAGAAACAGGACAAGAGGAAACGGCTTCAAGTTGTGCCAGGAGATGTTAAAAACCTTCATTCACTGAAAAGGTGGCCAAGCTTTGGAACCTGGAGGTACTGAAAGGACAAGTAGACGCACACTTTGGGACCTGATTTAGTGATTGACTTGGCAGTGCTGGATAGCAGTTGGACTTTGTGACCTGAAAAGTCTTTTCCAGCCTAAATGGTTGTATGATTCTGTGCACTAAAAAAGAGAAGGCAGCTATTTTCCATTATCCTTGAGTGAGACTTGTTTCTTGCAGAACTCATTCCTGGCTGACATACTAACAGGCAAAGAGTACTCCCACTGTTTCTGGAATTCCTCCACTTGTTGGCCAGACTATCGTGCACAACTTGGTTGGGAAAACAAGGAAATGCTGTGTCTCAAACAGGTTAGGCCTCTAATTTAAAACTATTTTCTGCTCCTTTACTTCCCCTTATAAAGTTGCCAAGCGGATGGAAATGTGAGTTCTGGGGGCAGAATGCAGCTCACAGTAAATAAGAAAGCAGCCTTACAAGAACAGCTTGCACTTGGTAAGGGGTAGATAGACACTGGCTGCTCGCCCAGAGGTTCTTTTGCCTTAAGAGGGACAGAGAAAGGGAGAGAAGGACACAGTGATCATTTACTGCTAATTAATTATATAAGGGTAAGGAAGATGAAAAATTACAGACTGCCACAGTATAGGGAAAACATGGGTTTTGAATTCCAAATGCAGTTCCATTAACCCTTCATACACTGTAGATGTGCAGAAAGATTTCATACCTATGAAGACTCATTTACAGCAAAATCATTGCAGGCTGGTAAATCGGTTGCACTTGAGACATGGATTTAGAGATCTGGGTGGTTACCACCTTCAATGGCTATTCCTTTGAATCCCTGCCTGCCAAGGGAACAAGAATGCCGTACTTGTTTATTCCTTGGAGCTATTTGAGTTATGAGTTCTGCCTTACCAATCATCTGTTACAAACACATAAAAAACATTCTAGACCCAATTCCATTTCCAGACCATCTAGAATTAAGACCCCTCCAGTCCGTGTAATGCAGTGGTCTGATGAGTGCTGCAGAGAGTAGGGTGTAGCATAAAATCAAATTTAGAGGCAGAAATAATGGTTAAAAATAAATCAGTGGGCCATTGTAGTGTTATGTCGCAAAATTAGATGACAGATTTTTGGTTGCCAAGGCTTAGAAGATGATGGAAAATCTACTTTTCTAGCTATGTCCAACTTAACAACTGTGAATACACAATTTCACCTTCCAGCTTCATAAGGACATAGGGAGATGGCAAAGGAAGTTTATTATTACAGCGTAGGTGTATGAAAGGTGATATGGGTACAGTATGAGTAGCTGGGTTTTCCATTCCAACAGGCTTCTTGCTGATCAGGAAGGCAGAATAGGTTAAACCTATCAATAATTTTTAACCCATGAAGGATAATATTTTCTTTAAAAAAAAAAAAATTCTCTTCCTTTATTGAAAGACTTAGGTCCTGTACCTGACCATGGTGCTCCTTACTGTTAGCTGTGCTTATAAATTAAATTCCACCTGCACTTTTGGAAAAAAACACTTCTTTGCCAATGTCTAAGTTATTTACATTAATATCTACTGCAGTTCTTTAAGGAAGCACAACAAATGTAGGACTGTACAGCTGTAAAAGCTACCCTTACATGTTAATTAAGAGAAAATAAAATACATATATTCACAGTACAAAGGAGGCACCAGCAGAATAAAGTCTGCCTAGTCTCTTCTCTCTCAATGTGAGAAACTCCAAACAGATATGATGCAAGGAGTGGCAAAAAGAAAAAAACGAAACCATTGCATATGCATTAGGTTAAATTTATTTATAATACAATATTGAACAATTAATGTCAAATTAAGTAGACTAAATGGTTTATTAATTACAGACTAGATAATATATTACTCTTGATTCATACATCTACATAATGTGTTGTCATTATATATCAATAAAACATTTTCTGTTGATTATATACTTCATGTATTCATCACATCAACATTTTTCTAAGTGCTATACATTATTTATGTAATGTATCACAAATTACTGCAACACCAATTTTTCCTCTTTTGAACAGCCTCTTCAACTCATTTGTGTCTGGTCTTGCCAAACTAATTAGGATGCTGTGCATCCCATTATTTGACTACATTTAGATTTTACTTTGGTTGAAAAAAAAAGAGATCACCCTGCTTCTTAAACAGCTGCTAACAAGAATCCAGCTCTTTTGGTGCTGTCCAATGTACACTATTCAAGTGCTGGCAAAGTGAAATAAACATAGTGTTATCAATTACCTGTAAAAAAAGGTTACTGGCTGATGCAAGCAGAATATAACACATATTTCTTAACTTTATCATGCATTATTACTTAGCAAATGATTAATGACCTTACCTTAAACACCAATTCTCCTATCAGGCCGTTCCATGACCCATCTTCCTGAGGACTCCCATACTTGTGATCCGGTGCTACATAAATTTCATATTTAAAGCCGAGGTAAGTGGCCAAGGCTTCCAGCACATCTATTGAGAATCCCTGATACTTCTTTGGTTTTCCCAGAACATTTTCAGACACCATTACAAAGGGTTCTTCCTAAAAAAAAAAAAAAAAAAGAAACAAAGGAGGAATCTATTAATAAAGCAATTATATGTCATGTTTGGGTGCTGGGGTTTTTTTAAATTAAAGAAGGAACTATTAAAATATTACTTACACAAAACTTTCCTAAAGCACCTTGTTAGCAGTGCTCCCTACATTCTACGAAATGATAGTTTGTTTTGGATTGCCTTCAACAGAGAAATTATATTTTCTATTATATATTGCAGAAATAGATCTTCTGTTGTAGCATTTCAACTGAATGCTTTTTAGTAATGCCTGCTGACCATACTTATGGTCAGCAGGACTGACATACACTCAATGTCTGGTCATAAATACAGAGGATTCTACAGCACTGCCATTTTCCACTAGCTGGGCAAACACTACCTAATGCAGCCATTATTCATGTTGTAAGGAAAGAAAAACATGGCAAAACTGAAAAACATGTGTTGCTCTTATCCTTCTACTGTAACCTGAATATAGGCCAGTTAAATTTAAATAGTTATATCCAAAGAAACTCCATTTGATTAGTTTAGGGATAATCAATTATAGGACTTAAGACTGTCTGTGAGAATGATTGATGAATATTAATCTAAAAGATGACCATCATAAAGGATAGAAATAGACACCAAAAGCTGATACTGAAAGCTCAAATTTCCAAACAACATGCTTTTCTTTCTTTTCCAAAGACTTGTAATAGTTTTCTCTATTTTGTTATTAAATTGCCCCTGCTCTGTTATTATTGCTGTTGCACAATTAATTTCTAGACATTCCCCTGCACATTTTTTTTAAAAGGATACAAAAACCGGTTAATATTTCTAAAGACAAAAAACATATATTTGCCATAGATGGATTTCACTTAGGCTTGTTCTTTATTTTCTCTGAAAACATCTGCCTGATCTAAGTACAGCAAAATATTATATCATCCCCAAAAGCATTACGGTGCTGTAATAGGTAGTTTTTAAAATATGCTACATGTCTTTCTTTCAATTCATTACGTACTGCTGTAATTTTGTGTAAGGTTAACAGAAGCACCTGTTCTGAGGTGCAAAAAAGTTAGCTCTGACTTGTCATGGCCTGGCCAGGACAAGCCCATGAAACTACTCCCTGACCACTTTGCCCTGGTCTTCAAAACTGACAAGCAGATAGAAGAATACCTCACTAATATTTTTAGCTTGCTGGAATATCCTTATATATGAACAGGTGTCACTGAATTGCAGGCAGGATGTTCTTGAAATAAGAAAGCATATTTTGTAAATGCTTGAGCAAATATTCTCAAGGACAGCCGCATGCTGAGGATGCTGCCAAAGAAGAAAGGATGCAACCAGACTGCATTGGCAGGATGTTCTTTTCTGCCTCCAGGAAATCCAGGAAAAAACCCAACCCCAAACCCAAACGAAAGAGAAAATGAACCAAACAATCCCAGCCCTGGGAAAAAAAAAAAAAAAAAAAAAAAAAAAAAAAAAAAGAGTTAAGGGTGGATTGTCTCAAGTTGTTAATTCTAGTTGTCAGATAGAATTTCTTTCTTCCATATTATCCAGTATAATTGAAACTGACTAAAAATGGAAGAGAGAAAGTAAAATGAATTTTTAAAGTAACTTTCCAGTGCCCAGATACCAAGAACATTGAAGAAATTGTGACTAAGTTGATGAAAGCCTCTCTTAAATGAGAGCACAAAGTGAATTCAGCATTACTGATCACGTGAATGATAGATTCCATTACATAGACTCAAAATGGCAGGGAAGAAATGTTTCTGCAACAAATAAAAATGGTAGTTCATCAATCTAAACACACTGTGTACAAAATTCTAAATATTTATGTGTACAAAGGACATTTTAGAAGTTGATAATTTTCATATTAGAAAGGATTAATTTTTATCACTAAATTATTTTGAAAATAGTTGCTCATAAACTGATTTTCTATCCAGTTGCTCATTGTAGTGATTTAATATGCTGTTTAAAATGCAGTTTGTCACAGATAATATCCTTATTAGGAGCTAATAGTCCTTTATTAAACAATGTAATATTGTTTGCTGTTGATAGACTTACAAAAAATCCCAATGTCCAGTGTCCTATATATATATAATGAAATATAAATAGTCGATCAGCTTTATGCAAAGCAACAAACATTTTGCAATTTTTGTTGAAGTCTGGAAAAGCAAACCCTTTAATCACATTCCAAACAAAACAAAACCAATCTACTGCCATGATGATATTTTGTGCAATTTTTTAAAATTTCTGAGATTGCATCCAAAGAGGACAAAAATATTTGTCTTGATATTTTTCCCCTCATAAATGCTGCAGCTTGAACTATGCCAGTTGTTATTTGCTCTTTTCTTTTTTTTTTTCCTTTTTTTTTTTTTTTTTTTTGCACTGGGAGGTTGTTACGGGAGCTATGGAAAGGTGCATACATTCCTACAACATGGGTGTTAAAATGATTGTCTACATCCTTGAGAAAGTTAAACTTGCAGAAAGAAAATAAACATGTCAAAACAACGAGGACAACAATGAGCTTGTACAAAATAGATGTGAAAATCTGATGTGATAACTGATGATTTTGGAGGTGGAAAAGTTCACCCAGATGATGAAGGTTTCATTCTACCCCAATAAATTCAAGAAAATCCTGACACATTTTCTGTCCAAAGCAAGTGTTAATTCAGACTATATAAGAAGTTCTTTTTCAGAGAATCCATACAATTGTCAGTCTTGGAGATGCTACAAACTCCCTTGGACAGCATTCCAACAACCTGCCCTAACATTTACCCTCCTCCACATAGCTGCCACCCAAGAGTCCCTTCAAACCTAAAATGCTCCAGAATACAGTGAGGTGATCCAAGGAAGGCCACTGCTCCTGTTTCTCCTTTTCTTCCTCTTGGAGACACCTCTCTAGGGGACTTACGAGCCTCTATGGGGCAAGAGCAGACTTCACAGCCTGTAAAGCCAGGGAGATCTGGAAAAGCGAAACAAGTCTTTCATGACAGAGGAGAAAAAGAAAATAAAATTAATGGATTGCCCACCCTTAACTTCTTGTTTTTGCAAGGTTGATGATCTGCCTCTCTGAACCACATGGACATCCAGTATCTTTAGGGGATGGCTTTTCATGCAACCTCAATGGAGATTCTTTTAGAGAGGGGCTATTTTCATTCAGCTTTGCCTTCAACACGCTCCCTTCTTGGATGTCAACTGAATGCAGCACTACTAAATCTGTGACAAGGGCTCCTTCTCAAAAGAGCTCCACAGTGACCACTGCCTTGCTTCTTCTTGGATGTGCTGTCCTGACCCAAAGGAGGGTGTGTTTAAGGCTTGGTGGATTTTACACAGGACTGTGGGTTAACCGTGAGGGACAGCTAAGCACCACACAGCCAAAAGCACCTGCAGCAAAGAGAAAGTCAGCAGCAAACAGGTGAAGGTTATATTGGGTGAAGCTGTGCATATTGCTTTTTATGGCTGTAGGAAGACAAAGTCTGGCTTCAGAGGCAATTATGTCCCCAAGGAAGAGAAACTGCAAAATGCTAGACTAGCACAGCTTAGGAAGCATAAAGGTGAACCCAAGATTAAGGCAACATGATATAAAAAAGGGAAAACATTGGCAAGATGACATGATAGTGCACGTACTTTGGAGAAGTAGCTCAAGAAAATGTTCGTCTCCATTCATTTCACTATTATCATACATTTTAAAGAAGTCACAAACTAAGACTGATAGAGGTTAACAATATGCTACATATTAGGACTGATGTAATTTAACATTTCCAGCATCCTTGGAAACTGGTGTGAGATGGCACAGCATATAACCTGTGTCCTCTAGGTTATATACTCTAGCCATGTCCTCTCCTGGCTACTGCAAAAATTAACCCTGTCCTGGCCAGAACCAGGGCAATTTGCTAAATGCTTCAAGAGGCTAATACAGGTCTTATTTACTCTGATTAAATTTTCAGGCATATCAATAAAATATCTGGTTTGAAATAATAATTCTATATTCTTTACTATACCCCCTAATAAAGTTAAAAGTAGGAAAGGAAAGAAAATCTGTTGAGCACAGAAGACCTTCACGGTTGGAAACAGAAGGAGTAATACTCAAGCTAAATAGCAGAAAAGAACAATTAGGCTGAGTTTAACTTGGTTGTGTTAATTAATCAGACAATCAAAGAGAAACATCTGTTTGTAGCTGTGCTACAGATATGGATGATAAAGTCAAGCAATAAATTCCAGCCTTAGAGAGGCAGGGAGGGAGAACAAGAGAATGATAGCTTTTCAGAAGCTCAGTTCCCTAAACCCAGAGTCTCTAATTGGGATGATTTTTAGCCAGTAGAATAGTGACTTTAAATTCCAAGCTTTGATAGTAATCTTTTAGTTCCTCAATGAAAATCAGGTTTTAAAGATCCAGTATTTTAGTAAAGAAACTCTCTTTTTGGACAAATTACAGAAAATGTTTTTGAAAGAACAGAAAAGTTTCATTCAGATCTTAAACACAGCACTCTAATTAAATACATAACAGGGAAAAAAAAAAGTTGTGTTTAGTGGGCTGTTTACAAGGAAGTAGTGGTCTCAGCTCAGCTGTTCATAATTTCACCTGCTCCCACCACGTCATTAGGAGATCACTGGGCAATAAGACAGATTTTCTCTCCAATTAAAAGTGTGGATTCTGTGGCTTTGAGAATAATTTCAGGATAGAAATTATATGGAGCTATGATACACTGCTCTGCTGCACATATTTGTGAAGTTCTTTTGCTTGTTCTAAATATAAAAATGCTAAAACAGCTAGGATGTACTTTACAAATGAAAAAGCAAAAGCAAACCAGAAAGCTTTGGATTATTTTCCAGCTAAATCTTCCTTACCCCTTAGAATGGAGAGAAACTTCCTAGCCAGGGCACTATACAGAAAATACTGGGTAAAAGAAATGGCTTTTGAGGTTAGAGAAACTAATCACTACTGGGATTTACAACACAAATTGGAGCTCTATGGGAGCTGGAGGGGTTTAGCCTGGAGAAAAGGAGGCTCAG